TGGTTCTCTCAACAGCTGTCACAGTTATGGACTGAAAACAGGAGGGCTATGTCTAGACTGGCATGATTTTCCGCAAATGCTTTTAACGGAAAAGTTTTCTGTTAAAAGCATTTGTGGAAAAGAGCGTCTAGATTGGCACGGACGCTTTTCCGCAAAAGCACTTTTTGCGGAAAAGTGTCTGTGCCAATCTAGATGCGCTTTTGCGCAAAAAAGCCCTGACAAACAAATCTGAGCTCTCTACACTGGCCCTTTTGCGCAAAAGCTTTTGCGCAAAAGGGCTTTTGCCCGAACGGGAGCAGCATAGTATTTCCGCAAGAAGCACTGATTTCTTACATGAGATCGTCAGTGTTCTTGCGGAAATTCAAGCGGACAGTGTAGACAGCTGGAAAGTTTTTCCGCAAAAGCAGTTGCTTTTGCGGAAAAACTTGCCAGTCTAGACACAGCCGAAGAGAGGGGGGTAAAGAGAGCAACTGGCTAGGGGCCTGGTGATTCAAAGGGGCCCAGGTCTTGCTGCCGCTGCTGCACAAAGCCCAAGGCAGCAAGTTCTGGATGGAGCAGAGCTGATCTGTCCATAGGATGAATCGGGGCGGCTACCTTAGGCCCCATGCTTTTGGAGGCCTGTTCTATGGATGGGAGGGACCTAGGGATTACAGGTGCCTGCCATGGTGGTGGCAGCCAGGGTCACTCCCCCCCACCCCCTCACTATGTAGGTGGTGAGCCAGAGGGGTGCATCAGCCTGCTCCACCCCGTCCCGCTGTCCTCTCCTGGCCTGCTGCATGCAGCTTGTCAGCAGCAGCGGGAAGCAAACCACCTGTGACGACGCGAGGCACAGCAGGATGGGAGGGCAGTGCAGAGCAGACTGCTGTGCTGCCCCAACTCCCACCACTTGTGTGGTAAGGGGGGGAGGCAACCCTGCTGGCACAAATGCCAGGTCCCCATAATCTCCTGAGCCACGTTGCACAGGGAAGGGGGAAAGTGGTTGGAGCGCGGCTGGGGGAGAGGCAGGGCTGGGGCCATGCCCAAGCCCCGTGCCTCCCCAGGATGGCCCCCGCACTGCGGGCTCAGGGATGCAGCACAGTCCTGTCAGTGCTGAGGGCTGACTGTTCCCGGTTCTGCCCCTTCAAACCGAGGCCCCTCAGGGAGTGTGGAACCAGCCACCACCCATCTTGCCCAGGGCCGAGATAAGTCTGTTAGCTCCCCTGATTGAAAATGTAAAAGCTTCATCTTAACCAACTTTTCTGGGTGGAAAATTTGGGGAAAATCTGGTCAGCTGTTCTTTAGTCTTAGTGTTAAATCATGGATCTCTTCTCACAAATTAGAAACAAATTTTATTTCTAGTGATGGAAAAAGAAGTCTTTCTTCTTCAGCACAAAGATATTGGGCAATCAAATGTGCGCCTTCAGGAAGAAGACCATTAGCTTCCTCTCTAGGGGTATGTCTACACTACAGCACTAATTCGAACTAAGTTAGTTCTAATTAGTTAATTCGAACTAAGCTAATTTGAACTAACGCATCCAGACTAAAAAACTAGTTCGAATTAGCAAAACGCTAATTCGAACTAGCATGTCCACATTAAGTGGACCCTGAAACGGGGTTAAGGATGGCTGGAAGCAGTGCCGGCAGCGCATCAGATGAGGACTTAGAGCGTGGAGCTGCTGCCTCAGGCTAGCCAAGGGCTGTGCTTAAAGGGACCGGAAACAGCTTCATGTGCATGTCTACACTACAGCACTAATTCGAACTAAGTTAGTTCTAATTAGTTAATTCGAACTAACGTCCGTTAGTTCGAATTAACTAATTAGAACTAACTTAGTTCGAATTAGTGCTGTAGTGTAGACATGCACATGAAGCTGTTTCCGGTCCCTTTAAGCACAGCCCTTGGCTAGCCTGAGGCAGCAGCTCCACGCTCTAAGTCCTCATCTGATGCGCTGCCGGCACTGCTTCCAGCCATCCTTAACCCCGTTTCAGGGTCCACTTAATGTGGACATGCTAGTTCGAATTAGCAAAACGCTAATTCGAACTAGCATGTCCACATTAAGTGGACCCTGAAACGGGGTTAAGGATGGCTGGAAGCAGTGCCGGCAGCGCATCAGATGAGGACTTAGAGCGTGGAGCTGCTGCCTCAGGCTAGCCAAGGGCTGTGCTTAAAGGGACCGGAAACAGCTTCATGTGCATGTCTACACTACAGCACTAATTCGAACTAAGTTAGTTCTAATTAGTTAATTCGAACTAACGTCCGTTAGTTCGAATTAACTAATTAGAACTAACTTAGTTCGAATTAGTGCTGTAGTGTAGACATGCACATGAAGCTGTTTCCGGTCCCTTTAAGCACAGCCCTTGGCTAGCCTGAGGCAGCAGCTCCACGCTCTAAGTCCTCATCTGATGCGCTGCCGGCACTGCTTCCAGCCATCCTTAACCCCGTTTCAGGGTCCACTTAATGTGGACATGCTAGTTCGAATTAGCAAAACGCTAATTCGAACTAGCATGTCCACATTAAGTGGACCCTGAAACGGGGTTAAGGATGGCTGGAAGCAGTGCCGGCAGCGCATCAGATGAGGACTTAGAGCGTGGAGCTGCTGCCTCAGGCTAGCCAAGGGCTGTGCTTAAAGGGACCGGAAACAGCTTCATGTGCATGTCTACACTACAGCACTAATTCGAACTAAGTTAGTTCTAATTAGTTAATTCGAACTAACGTCCGTTAGTTCGAATTAACTAATTAGAACTAACTTAGTTCGAATTAGTGCTGTAGTGTAGACATGCACATGAAGCTGTTTCCGGTCCCTTTAAGCACAGCCCTTGGCTAGCCTGAGGCAGCAGCTCCACGCTCTAAGTCCTCATCTGATGCGCTGCCGGCACTGCTTCCAGCCATCCTTAACCCCGTTTCAGGGTCCACTTAATGTGGACATGCTAGTTCGAATTAGCAAAACGCTAATTCGAACTAGCATGTCCACATTAAGTGGACCCTGAAACGGGGTTAAGGATGGCTGGAAGCAGTGCCGGCAGCGCATCAGATGAGGACTTAGAGCGTGGAGCTGCTGCCTCAGGCTAGCCAAGGGCTGTGCTTAAAGGGACCGGAAACAGCTTCATGTGCATGTCTACACTACAGCACTAATTCGAACTAAGTTAGTTCTAATTAGTTAATTCGAACTAACGTCCGTTAGTTCGAATTAACTAATTAGAACTAACTTAGTTCGAATTAGTGCTGTAGTGTAGACATACCCTAGCAGAGTTATCTGCTTGAAGAAGCTCTGCTCTCTGAGGGTACGTCTACACCAGTGTTTCTCAATCAGTGGTACAAGTACCCCCAGGGGTACTCGGGAGAAGTCTGGAGAGGGGGTACATCAACACAACTGAAATTTGGAGAAAAATGAATTTTTGTGTTAAGTTTTACAGTGCTTTATTATTTTTGTACTTTTTACACCCAAAAATTAAGTTGTTTAAACAAATGCGTTGCAATGGTAGAAAAATGTTTTTGTGTGTCTGAATACTGTAGAGTACCCGTATTTAAAACCTCAGGGGCTTGGCATGGAGAAATACCTGATCAGGCAGAGAGGCCAGTGCTGGGAAATGGCTGGAAAGTCTGACTCAGCCTGGAACATTTAATTCCAGTTCCCCCGAGAGAGAGGGAGAGAACAAACCCAATGCAGACACCAA